TTTTCTTTTGCAAAATGTACCTTCAACTAGAGAATTACCGAGTTACTTTATGTACATTCACGGAATATCACTTATTCTGAAACCAAAAATCTGTTACATCAGTATCTAACTAAACTATTATATGATCTCTCTTTTTTATGTTGTTTAGTAATGTGCATATATATTTTTTACAGTAACGAGATTAATGGGTGGATCAGCCTCTAGCTCGATGGGACATATGGGAAATATGGGAGGCCTTGCTACTTGTAGTGTATCGGATTCAAAACCGTTACAATTTCCATTGACACAACGCAGAAAAAGAAGAGTGTTATTTACGCAAGCACAGGTATATACCAATGTTCTACCATTATTCATAAACTTAAATATACATACTGTTCTAATTACCACTAACGGCTTAGATCTGGCTTTACTACTAGCGGTGTATGGTTGCTAATTAAAGGATTTTACTAAGTAAATGTTAGAGGAGAGGGGGAGTATGTTGTAGGTGTTTTGGTCATTTTCAAACAGATGCACTCTTGCATTCTCAAATTGCTAACATGACAACTTCTTCAAGCCATTCATCTAAATTCACAAATTTGCCGCTACCTGTAGTGAGCAAAATTTTCAGTTAAAGAAAGTTATCCAAGTTCAACGGCGACCGCTGTGGTGTGGTGGTTAGTGGTGCGCGCTACTATTCTGCAGGGATGGGGTTCAAGCCCAGGTTCCGACTAGCATAATAAAAGAAACGGTTTTTTTCTAATGGCGGTCACCGCCCGGCACCCAATGGTAAACCTACTAGTGTAATCCTGCCATGAAAAACAGCTTCTCATAAACAACCAATCACCGTTCCGAGTCGGCGTAGGTCCTTCTCCCTTATGTGACAACATCAAGGCGCATACCACAAATCGGAGGAGAAGCTCGGCCAAAAATAAAATATATTCTGTAAGCGCCAATCTATTATTGTTGTAATGCAATTCAACGGAAAGTACGAGAACTGGATTACTTTTCGCGACTTGTTTCTTAGCGCAGTGGGAAATAATCCAGACGCACGTAATATTTCAATATTTGATTTCATATTTAGAAATAAAGACGATGCCTTAGCCAGCATAAAGCATATTCCTGTGACCGAATAAAATATGTATGTACTCGTGTTGAACGGACAAAATTATCTAGCAGAAAAATTCTTAAAGAGACTTTTGCACGGCTATACTTAATCCCGGTCCTTGCGTCCTCGTTCGCGCACTCTGGCAACGTGAGCAACCCATCTACGAGATGCGATAGCCAATCCGAGTGGAGCCTTGGGTCACGAAAGAAAGAGAGGGAGCTTCGGTGGGGCCACTCCGACTTATTCGGTTTAAGGGCTCACTGAAGTCTGCAGCGTCTGTTCACCAGTATGCGTGGCTGATAGCGGGTGTCTGTTTTGGACAAAGCGGCTCACTAGATATATGTTTATTTGGATACGAAATGACCCCCGACCCAGCAATGGGTTGTGCGTTGGGTTTGGGACCCACCGCGTAAAAACCCCTTTCAGTGAAGAAGCGAAGCAATGCTTCGGATGAGAGTTCCCTTATGATGGCGACCACGGCAAACGTTTAAGGTACTTCGATTTGAGGGCATGCACCTGGAATGTCCGGACCCTTAATGAGGAACGTGCCTCTGCCCGGCTGGTTGATATCCTCCTAAGAACAAAAGCTGACATCACCGCCATGCAAGAAATGTGTTGGACGGGCCAAGGCAAGCAATGCCTGGGGCCTTGCCACGTCTACTATTTACATCTGCCATGTAAAGGAGCGCAAATTCGGTGTTGGATTTGTGGTGGGAGAGAGAATCTGTCCCCGAGTAGTGTCGTTCACCCTGGTGGACGAGCGCCTAGCCATAATCCGCATCAAAGCGAGATTCTCCAATATATCGCTCATCTGCGTCCATGCCCCGACGGAAGAGAAGCATAAGGTATCCACGAATCTCTTCTATGAGTGCTTGGAGCACCCGTATGAGCGCTTCTCCGCAACGATAGCAAAATCGTGCTTGGCGATTTCAATGCCAGGGAAGGCAAGGAAAGGATTTTTGAAACCACCCTAGGAAAATTCAGCCTCCACGACGAAACGACAGACAACGGACTGAGGCTGATCGACTTCGCCGGGGCCCAAAACATGATAGTATGCGGTAATAGGTTCAAGCATAAAAAGATTAATCAAGCTACGTGGCTGTCTCCGGATCGAAAAACGAGAAACTAAATCGGCCATGTTGTGATAGACGGAAGGCATGCTGCCAGTGTTTTAGACATACGTACACTCCGAGGCTCAAACACCGACTCGGACCACTATTCTGTTGTAGCCAAGATACGCACCCGCCTCTGTGCAGCACATAATGTGGGCCCAAATATGCAAGGAAAGCTTAACGTTGAAAACCTGCATACACAACCGACAGCAAACGCATTCGCTACTCAACACTCACACATACTCTCAGAGAGCACTCATCAACTAACCGAGATATGCGAGCAGTGGAACCATATTTCCCGCTCATTAAGTACCGCCGCCGAAGGAGTAGTCGGATTATAGCGAGCCCGAAAGAACTGGTGCGATGAGGGCTGTCAGGGAGCTGCAGAGAAAAAAGATGACCCTGCAAGGCCACGCTGTAATCGGGTGAAACGCGAGCCATATGAGACCGCTATAGGTATCTGTAGACGGAAGCGCGAAGTATTTGCCGCAATAAGAAGAGAGAGGCTGAAATACGTGATTGCGAAGAGCTTGAAATCCTAGCCTACAGGGAGAATTCCCGTAGGTTTCAAGGCCAGGGTGTACTCATGTATGAACAACAATGTCGACCTGGTTACCGATATTCAGAACGTACTTAAATTATGGAGGGAACACTTGTCCACCTTACTGTATGGTAGCAGTACGGAAAGTTATGGAGAAGAAGAAACCGAGCCCGCAGTCGATGATGACGGAGTCGATGTTCCTCCACCTGCCTATGACGAGGTACGAACAGCAATAACACGGTTGAAAAACAAAAATGCTGCTGGAGCTGACAGCCTGCCAGCTGAGCTATTCAAGCTTTATTTAAGTGTGCTATGCCCAACCCGAAAGAAAGGCGACCCCGCCATTGGCGCCAACTACCGCGGGATCAGCCTTTTAAGCATAGGTTACAAGGTTTTATCGAGCGTATTGTGTGAAAGACTGAAGCCCAACGTGAATGAACTGATTGGGCCTTATCAGAGTGGCTTTAGGCCTGGAAAATCCAGCATAGACCAGGTATTCACAATTCGCCAAATCTTGGAAAAGGCCCGCGAGAAAAGGATCGACACTCACCACCTGTTTGTCGACTTTAAAGCCGCTTTCGATAGCGCTAAGAGGAGTTCCCTATACGGAGTTATGTATGAATTTGGCATCCCCGCCAAACTGATACAGCTGTGTAAAATGACGTTGAGCAATACCACCAGCTCCGTCAGAATTGGAAAATACCTTTCTGAGACGTTCCCCGCCAAACAGGGTCTCAGAAGGGGCGTATCCTTTTCATGTGACTTCTTAAATCTGATGTTGGAGAAAATAAAAAGCCGCAGAACTGAACCGCTCAGGAACAATTTACTACAAGAGCGTGCAATTGCTGGCTTTTGCCGATGACATCGATATCATCAATAACAAATACCGCGAAGTCTGTTCAGCGTGGATAAGGAAGCAAAGCGAATGGGTTTGTTGGTAAACGACGACAAGACGGAGTATCTCCTGTCATCAAACAAACAGTCAGTCATTCCCGCCTTGGCACCCATGTCACTGTTGCAGTTATAATTTCGATAAAGTAGAGAATTTCATTTACTTGTGATCCAGCATAAAGACCGATAATAATATCAGTATGGAAATCCAACGCAGAATTGCTCTTGCCAACAAGTGCTGCATGGGACTGAGTAGGCAATTGACTAGCAAAGTCTTCTCTCGACGTCAGAAAACTACACTCTATAAGTCTCTACCGCGCAGAAGCAGGGAAAATGACAACATCCGATGAGGCGGCTTCTGGAATATTCGAATGAAAGATGTTGCGGCAGATTTACGGTCCGTTACGCGTTGGTGGAGGTGAGTACCGCAGACGATGGAACGATGAGCTGCATTAGCTTTACAATGACATGGACATAGTTCAGCGAATTAAAATAAAGCGGCTCCGCTAGCTTGGCCATATCGTTCGAATTGACTCCGATGCTCCAGCTCTGAAAGTATTCAACTCGAATCCCGCTGGTGGTAACAGAGGAAGAAGAAGGCCTCTTCTGCGTTGGAAAGATCAGGTGGAGGAGGACTGGGATTCACTAAGCATTTCCAATTGGCGTCAGTTGGCACAGAAAAGAAACGACTTGCGTGCTTTGTTGAAGTTGGCCAAAATCGTCTTGGCGGTTAAGGCGCCAAATAAGAAGAAGAAGACAAAGAGACAAAATATCCACGAAGTACGAGAACGCAAAAACTTGCAACCTTCGAAACAGCTGATCACTTCCACAGTTGCCACTGGTGGTTCATTTGGCTATTTATTTTTTGCATGTTACATTTTCCCCGATTGGGCATTTTGTACAAATGAATACTTTTGGATAAAAGAATCCCGTTTAAAATACCAACTAATTATACCGGAATGAATAAGTTTTTTTTTCTCAAAACTATTTGTGATACCGCATGGTGACGCATTCAAAACAAAGCTAATAGATAGCCATGGTATAAACGTAATAAGGTGAAATCATTTTCTTTTTAATATTTTTATTGAGCTTTGTACCACGATTATTATATTAAGAAAATTGGAAAAAGCAACAAAATCTAAGCGGTAGAAGTTATAGCAGCTATTTCTGAGATCACCACATCTCCTCATCAGACTTCTTTTTTCTAGACTGCAGCAGGGATCGAACCCGCGTCATCGATGTGCAAACTGAGAAGCGTTAACCAATGAGCTGTGCACACCCCGTAAACTCGTGTTGCTAATTCATTTTCCATATTCAACCTACTGCTATCAAGTGCAGCTGATTTGCCCCTATTTAAACTTGACAGCGGGGTTTTTTCTGTCATTTCTAAACATGCATTTGCTTTTTTGTATAGTTTCAGGCAGGCTGTTCCTGAACTACATATGTATTTGTCAATGTTGTTGTGGCTTATTAACATTGAATTTTAATTGCTAATATGTTCATTGAGCTTTGTACCACGATTGTTTATTAGGAAAAATTGAAAAAGCAACAAAGTCTAAGCGGCAGAAGTTATAGCAGCTATTTCGGAGATCACCTCATCTCCTCATCAGACTTATTTTTTCTAGACTTCAGCAGGGATCAAACCCGCGTCATCGATGTGTAAAGTCAGAAGCGTTAGCCATTGTACTATGCACACC